CTACTCCCGGTGGGAGTAGGACTCCTCATGGGGCGCGCCTAGGGTGGCTGGCCCCCTCCCCCTCCTCCACTCCTTTATATACGGGGAGGGAGGCACCCCTTGGAGAGACAACAATTGATCCCTTGGATCTCTTAGCCGTGTGCGGTGCCCTCCTCCACCATAATCCACCTCAATAATATCGTAGCGGTGCTTAGGCGAAGCCCTGCGTTGGTAGAACATCATCATCGTTACCACGCCGTCATGCTGACGGAACTCTCCCTCAAAGCTCCGCTCGATCGGAGTTCGAGGGACGTCATCGAGCTGAGCGTGTGTTGAACTCGGAGGTGCCGTACGTTCAGTACTTGATCGGTCGGATTGTGAAGACGTACGACTACATCAACCGCGTTGTGCTAACGCTTCCGCTTTCGGTCTACGAGGGTACATGGACACACTCTCCCCTCTCGTTGCTATGCATCACCATGATCTTGCGTGTGCGTAGGAATTTTTTTGAAGTTACTACGTTCCCCAACAATGCTACCATCGCAGGTTACAAAAATACTAAACCACTCGTTATGCCCTTTGGTGATCCATTAACATGATGGACAATTGTTCAACTAATGCAGGTCATTTAAACAACTACTCGCTCCATGCTTGAAAAGAAGGCACAAATATTTTGTCAGAAATCAAATGGAGCAAAATTTGCGCAAGTATATAGGAAAAACAAAAAAGTTGGTCAAATTTTGCACCGTTTGACTTTAGACAAAATGTATACACCCTCTTTAAGCACGGGGGAAGTACTACATAACTAGGGAGCACTCAAGCTTGAAATACTCAACAGATCACGGCGATGCTGTTCAAAGAGTGTAGCTCTAGACATCAACAATTTACAAGTTGGCTCATCATAAGATCTTACTGTCATGTGAATTAATTTTTGAGGTATGAACAACAACTGTATGATCAACAATAATCCAAAGAGATACTCTTGTCATACATTTGTTGGACATAAAGTTTAAAGTGTTAAACCAAAATGATCAACAATAAACTTGAAAATGAAAACATTTTGTTAATTCTAAACAAAATGTGTGTACCTTTTTATGATCAACAATAGTCCAAAGTTTAAAGTGTGGACACATGATTATATTGCATTCTCAATCATACTTTTTGTTCTCATTATGACTACAGAACTGTGTCCAAAATGATTTAAATGGTAAATAAGACCAATGTTTCTACGTTGTCAACATATGACATTTATATAGTTCTTGCTATGAGAGTTAAACCATCAGTCTTTCACCATGCCATGAAAACATATAGTTAAAGCTACTGTTGGCGTACCATAGAGCTACAGGCGCATTACCAAAATCCAAAGCACATGATAACTACGAAATACAAAATGCCTCACTAAGATCCTAAACGTACCATGTTCTGGAGGCAGCAGCCAATTGAGAACTCACCATACAAATCGCCCAATCTCATGAGATAACAATAAGGAGTGTCTACTTTGAAGCTAACTTCTGGATATGCCCTTAACTTCTTCATGATCTTTCAGATATTCCATGCACCTTATCCATACTCTGAACTTTTATGGGAATTTTTGTTATAGATGATACCCATTGAGCACGGGATCTATTCAAGGACTATAGCACATTACGTAGGCTCCATGGTACTAAATATTATCCAAGAACAATATTTCATATAAAAATGCATTCAAGAAATCTTCACGGCACTATCCTTGAAAGATAGACTGGTCGATTTCTTTCTAGGATGCGATGAATAACAATAAACTAAAACCCCAACCAATATTTTTCTCTCATCTTTCAAACTTCCTATACAAATGCGACACTCCCAAATTTACATGATTTCCCAAAGATTTCTATGCTTTCCAGCATCCCAACTGATTTGAGGCTAGAAGTCTTCATTTTAGACAAAACCTAATAGTCAAATTTCTCTAAGAAAATTAGCAAGTTGTACAAGTGAGAAATACAGAATTAACCAAGTTGCGAATCTGATGTGTGAGCTATTATTAGTATAGCTGATCATATAATGTGTGCTTGAAGTTGGCACATTATCCTATCTTCACATTCTTTAGATATTGCAAATGTTGTTCATGGTGTATCTTGTAACTGCAACATCTGTTTTTAACACCAAATAGTGGACTCTGGCATATAGACAGGTTCTGGGGTCAAACGCGTAGGACATACATCTAAATGTGCAAAGTCGCTCAAGGTTTCATCTTTAACCCATGTACCAAATATTACTATGTAGAGAAAAAGGCTAGCATGTCTTGATGAGTCGTATCATACCATCCAATAGAGTATACATTACATATGGCACCATGAAATTATAGAGCATAATTAGTGCAATTTAGGCACTATCCAGTTATGAAAGGCCTGAAGATACCTGACCAACTAATAGTGAGTTGGGTACTGAAACATGAAGCTTCTCCAAATTTACCAATGATGTAGACATCAGCCTTATCTCAATCGCCAAACCGGATAACGCGGTTCAGACGTGTTTTGCCATCCAACGCGGTCGTGTATCCGCCAGCTGGCTTGTCCGGGCGTCCTTGTTTTCGTAAGATGGAAGCAAACTAGGGAGGCTTTGCGGGAGTCCGAATAGCAACCACGTAGGACTGCGACACCCCACCCCACCCAAAACTCCTTCGGGACCCCGCATCTCCATCCTTCCCTCTTTCTATGCATTCATCTTCTCTCTCGTCGATGGCGTTGCAACACCTCTTAGGCCGCCTGCCAAACGCTTCCTAGAGCTATATGACCTCCGTGACCTCCACTGTTACACTTGCTCCCGTTCCGCTTTTCCACCGCCGCCGCTGCTGGTCCACATCTCTCCTCTATTTTTGCAGTTGTTCGTGGACCTGCTAAACGATGTGATCCGGATACCTTGTGGGAGGTGATGATATGTCATGTGATCATGAACAACAGGATTGTGAAGGATGAGGGTGAGGATGCTGTTGCAACCCTTGAATTCAAGAACATAGGTGATCCTATCGAACTTTCATAGCAGAGTCCGACCACGTTTGATGAGTTTGTTCAAATGCATCAACAAATTTGACATCGAGCAACCGTAGGAAGATTTGATTTAGCATCTCTGGGCAATTAAAAGGGACAACTAGTACACATATGTGCTAGTTGAATTCAAGTTTGACCTACTTTAGTTTGAAAATTTTGTTGGATTGTAATATGTAAATTAGATAAACTACAACTTGATATGTGGTTATTTTGAGCTTGCGGGCTTTAGAAGATGTTGGATGTTTTCGGCTAGCTTTGGATGACCGGTTCAGCATCCGCAGACTGGTCCTCATTGGTCCGGAGACGGTTACGGTCTCCGATTTGGGGTCAGTGTTGGAGATGCCTAAGCTCACTCTTACAAATGTGCTCCACAACCCTCCTAGGACGGGCATTCATCAGACTCAAACAAGCGAGCAGCACAGATCAGAAAATCATTTCCATATAAACGAACTACTAAGTTATCTCTATATGCAGATGGTGCTTGTCTTTCATCTTTAATCAGCCGAGACCTATCCCCATACATTCGCCTGCAACGCCAAACTCGTTTTGAGTTTCTTCTTCAGCCAACCAACCAAGCAAATCCACAACAATGAACACCATGAGAAACCCATCGAGCCGGCACACGAATTTACCTTGCCATCTCAAAACCTCCATAAATTTACCTTGCCACCAGATAATTGAGCACCTTCACCGACGCCCTACATTACAAGCTGTATCTCATTCTCATCACCCCTTGATCACCCCAGCGTTTCTGTACTTGTACCGGATGGCCAGCACCAAGAAGAAGACGTAGTTGAGCGCGCTGAGCACGCACATGAGCCAGTAGAACCGCTCGAGGTGGTAGTGGTTCAGGCTCGCCCCCTCCAGCCACGCCCGGTGCCCGCCGCGCCCCGTCGCGCTGTTCACCACCGTCACCAGCACCGAGCTCAGGTAGTACCCCAGCGCCAGCGACGCCCACGACAGCGACGTCGCCAGCGACCGCATCCGCGGCGGCGCCTCGCTGAAGAAGAACTCCAGCAGGCCCGCCAGCGTGAACAAGTCCGCAGACCCCAGGAACAGGTACTGGAACGCGATCCAGAAGAATGTGATGGGCAGCGGCGCCGCGGAGTCCATCATGCCGGCGTCGGTGGCCACGTTCTTGCGCTTCACCTCGACGACGGCGGCCACCGCCATGGCCACGATGGAGAGGACCAGCCCGGTGCCGATGCGCTGGAGGTGGGTGATGCCCATCTCCGTCCCGGTTACTCGCCGCGCGAACGGGACGATGATGTGGTCGTAGATGGGCGCCAGGAGTATGATGAACGTGACGGGGAACACCGGCAGAGACGCCGGCGGCACCTTGAGGCCCCCGACGTGGGTGTTCATCGTCGCCGCCTGCTCCACGGAGAAGGTCGAGAGCTGGGCCAGGCAGCAGTTGAGCATGATGGTGGAGAGGAAGATGGGGAGCACCATGAGCACGATCTTGACGTCCTCCACCTCCTGCACCGTGCACGCCAGGGTCCTGTGCCGCGGCTGGCACTGCACCGCTCGGTTCAAGCCGCTCAGCTCCTGGGACGGCTCCGTCACCTCGTCGGCGGCTGCGCATGTGTTCCCGGGCTTGCAGTACTCCTTCATGTCGGTGCTCCCCGTGGGACTGGGCGCGCGGTCGATGACGGCGCCGTTGCTGGCGCTCTGCGTGCCCCCGCGGCGCGCGGACGCGGCCGCGAGCAGGACCTTGCCGATGGTGACGAGCGGGCTGCCCGTGGGCACCTTGCTGCGGTAGAACTTGGAGCCGGCGGCGAAGACCGGGATGGAGAGCAGGATGGCGATGGTGGAGATGCCGAACCCCCACTGCCACCCCTTGTTGTCCTCGACCCACACGGCGAAGGTGACGGCGATGAGCGCGCCGCAGGAGAGGCAGAAGACGAAGTAGTTGAAGAAGGTGGAGCGGCCCTTGCGGCCGCGCGGCGTGTGCTCGTCGAACTGCTCCGCGCCGTGCGACGGCAGGGAGCCCTTGATGCCGCCGATGCCCAGAGCCGTCATGTACAGCCCCACGAACAGCATCGCCTTCTTGCTCCCCGACACGGGCTCGCACGGCGCCGCGCCGACAGCCTTGATGCATTCCGGCGGCATCAGCGACGGTGACCGCGCCTGGATCGTCAGGACCACCAAACCCTGCGCACCATCGCGAACATTCAAACATCAGCTTTCAATTGCACTCAGAAATGCACCAAACGGGATGAAAATTTCCTAGTGTAAGATTAAGTTTTTTTTTTGAGGGGCCTAGTGTAAAATTAAGTGGGCTTGTCCAAACAAATATGCTTGATATATTGATGTAGGCCATTGGCCCATACGTTCCGGGCCTGACCCAAAATACTAGCATTTCTGCCATTCGCTAATGCGAAAAAAACATCGGTCACATGAAGTACTACTACATTGTCTCAAAAAAAAAAAGTAGTACTAATACTACTTGCATAATTGCATTATTCTCAAAAAAACATTTTATGCACAATTGCATTGCTACGACATGATTAGATGGAGAACTAGTTGCAGTTAACATATCAGGTTATCATGTCCAAAGATCTGTCAAAAACCTCCATCGAGTAATCGAAAGCGATAAAGTTCCGAGGACCAGGCAAGTGGGCGCCGTGCTACTTGTGGCCGGCCGGCCGCCCGCCCGTGCGCTAGGTCGCTTTGGGCATGGTCCGTGAGCTCGATTACAAAGCGAAGGAGAGGACACCGACCCACTGCAGATAGAGCTAGCTGTTTGACCGGCGATGGGGCTGTGCGCCATCCCGTCGGGTTGTTGTCCAAAATATTTGCTTTGTTTCCGGTCAGCGTTGACTAAAAAATGCATGGCCAAAGGGAGGACAGCAATGCTTTGTTTCCGAAGGATTGGGAGGCTGACTTTGTATGGTCAAACAGCGAGCATGTGATCGTTGCGGATCTTGAGGTCGGAAAGCAAGCATAAGCAAGCGGCCAGCGTGTGATGCACAGGTGCAACCTGCCTAGGCGTCTTGAAGTACCACTGCGAGGAGTACGGTAGACGGTCAAGTGGTTATAATTAGCCCATCACAGCACCAAACAAGTGGCAACTGGAGAGGCAAAGTTTGATGGTAGCCACCCACATGCGCCCCTCCCTCTGGGTTCCTTTCGTGCAGGCATGAATCATGGACCGTATGGCAACAAGTGCTCCATCCGGGGTTTGGTAGTAGAGAGCGAGCACTGAACTCCAGAGTTCCGGAGAAGAGGGTCGACGCGGCACGCACGCACGCACGCACGGTCGCTCTCTCCGTTTGGTCCCGGTCCGATCCTCCGGCCAAGCCACCACCACCCTCCAGGTACCCCCGGCCATCGCCGGACGAGGAGGAGGCTGGGGTCCCCCCCGCACCGGGACTTCCGGCCATGTACGTACGTGACTGACACCGATACGAGAGAGGCCAGCACTGGCGTCCGATGATATGATACGCGACGTGCGCGTCGGTCAGTCTGCCCCCACCCACGCCCAGCGACCGATACGCCGGCCAACAACGTGGCTGGCGCGGGCGGCAACTTGCGCCCGGCCGGTGGCCGCAACGATCTTGTCGTTGCCCGGCCGGGCCGTTGGGGTGTGCTCTCCTGAAATCCATCCACGAACATCGGCACGCTTCCGCCAACCACCGGGTCACCTTGCCCTCGCAAGTCGCCAATGACAAAATTATGGCCAGATAATCTATACCTAGTGTTTGTTTGTTTATTGTATGTATGTATCTCCTGACTCTAGTCCTAAGCTTGTGCCAGTGCATGCAGTGGACTGCAACCAACTACGCTTCGATTAAGTGAGGTCAAGATAAGCAGATGCTTGATACGTGAGACAGTGAGGTCACGAACGATCGCGTGCCCGCCTATCGCTCCTACCGGCCCATGCCCATGCCCATTCTCTTCGCTATCGATCGGCTGATTCCATTTCCAACAACAACAACAAGAAGAAGGGTCCAACGGGTGTGGACGGACAGATGCCACGGCTCAGAGAGCCGGAAGTGCTTTAGCATATGGTGGTGGCCAAGGATTAGTCCAATCGTGTCGTGGCATCATCGCGCACACAAGGAAGGCAAAGAAGATCTTGTGCGATGGATGGTAACCCAGTGATCGGGTCAGGCGAGTGGTGCGTGCCTGACGGGACGGTCAGGGCGGCGGCGGATTGGCCAGGCGGCCGCCAGAACGAGATCGCGCGCACACACGGGGGGCGCCACGGAATCGGATTGCCTGTTGCCCCCGAGGGTTGTTCGGATGGGCCCGCGCCCCGCGACGGCGACGTAACCGGAAAGTGGCGCCGCAGGGGGGGGGCGGCTTTGTTCGCTTGCGGCCGCCAAATTAGTTGGTTAGTTTTTTCTTTTCTTTTCAGAACGCTACTACTACATCAGTTTCAGCTCGCAGGTTTACGATGTGGTGATCCTATTTAACAGGAGTATGCGGGAGGGTGCGTGTGATAAATTGGCAAAGCTGGTTAAACAGAACATTATTTTGCAAAAAAAAAAAAACAGAACATTAGAAAAGTTGGTTAGGCACTGTAAGCAATGGAGTCTTTTGTCTTTTGAAATGAAGATTTTTTTGCTAGCACAGTTTTTCCTAGCTCCCCCACTACACTGCACTGCACTATAGCTGCTTCTTTTGCATACTTTGCTTGCTATCATGATTGGACAGACAAAATGTGCGTCAACACGACTGGGCCATGGAAACATCCCCTGTGTCGAACGGTTACTGATGTAAACGACCGCACATAGCGACCGCTCTAATCGTTTTCTCGCGTACAATTATGTTCCACTTGCATCGCCTGCCCATGCGATCCACCACTCACGTCCCTGTACCCTCTACGTCGTACACACCCGCATCCATCACGCCCATATAAATGACGCACGTTTTAACACGCCGGTCCTAGCGAAAAGTCTCCTGACGGCCCACATGTCAGGGTCCCGGGGGGACGTATATAACACACGAATAAGAGAAAAACCGCAACATGGATATTGTTGCCTCACCGTCACCAGACCACGACAACTTAATCCGAGCTAGCGATCGAATTAGCAGCCTACGCATGGCATGGCATGAGCAGGCCAAATCAAGCCCATCACGGCCTGCCCCCGGCTATAGCTAGCTAGTACGTCGACGTATTGTATAGCCTAATGCATGCTGTCACAGTACGCAGGACGTGATTAGCTAGTGAGTACACTATCAGAGTACGTAGTTCCCTTTGACCCAGGCAATCTGACCTGATCCTGCCCATGCATGCATCCTGTTCTTGGACGGCGAATAAAGTTGATGGCTACAATTAATCATTGGCCTCTCATTTCCCCCTCCTAACTTAGTACTAACCCAGATCGCAGGGAAACTACGTGCTCCAGTTGATCCATCTGTGGTGCTCCGTGTAGGGCCGGGTCTCTATATAATTTTAACAGCGAAGATCTATCTCGGACCAGACGGATGGATCCGTGAAGTGCGCCTAGCCTATATATGCAACACATGCACCACATGTCGAGGATCAAAATCGGGGTTATTATTTGACGTGATGGGCTATTAAATCTCGCCACTGTGGTTATCTCCGGACAGGTGTCGCCACTTCAACGTAGCTTTGTGTTTTAGTGCTTGGACCCATCATCCATCGTGGCTTCATTATTAATTGATTAGTGTATGATCCTTTCGGCAGCTTAAGGAGAGATTCTAGCTAAACGGTCAACATGCATGTCGTACGACGTGTACACAACCGGTCAGGGCGAAAAGGAAAAGTGAAAAGTCAATTCGGCGACGTGGCGGCACAGCTGGACAGAGTATTCCTGTGTATATCTGCCAGCTCGGAGATATGATAAGGACGGTATTAACTATATCTACTATATCCGGAAACGTCGATCTACCACCATGAGTCTGTCTATGATAGCCTACAAAAGCTTCTTTTTTTTCTTCAATATTAATTGTATCTACGTATATCCAGAAACGTCGATCTACCACGTACGATGAGTCTATTATAGCCTACGCAAGAGTTTCTTGTCGGTGCATGGATGCATGATGCGAATTTATCAGCAAAAAACGGACCGGCCAGGCAACAACTATTACTGCCAAAGATGGGGATGGCAGGTAGTGGTAGAAACTTAGATATTTCGCCGGGGGTGCATGCGTGCGTACCATGAACTCGACGAAGGCGCTGATGAGGTAGACGGCGTAGGTGGTGCAGACGGCGTCGGAGAGGAAGCCGCCGAAGAGGCCGAGCAGGAAGGCCGTCCCCATGAAGTTGGTCACCGTCGTGGCCGACTGCGCCGGCGAGTAGTGCATGGACTTCATCAGGTACGTCACCAGGTTACTCGCGTTCGCCAGGAACGCCAGGTTCTCAAGCACCTCCGCAACTGCACGCAGGAACCATAACTTTGTCAGCGATCATAGCACGTGTGATGCATATTACGTATGATGAAACAAATTTTGATCCTGCTCAGATTAACCACTAGGTTACAAGCAGGGGCGGAGCTAGACGAAATCCGAGCGAAAGAACAGCTATGAACGTAAGGTGAAAAACAATTCACAAGTTGGTTCATAGATACTTCCTCCTTCCGGAAATACTTGTCAGAGAAATGGATGTATCTAGACGTATTTTAGTTCTATATACATCTATTTTTATTTATTTCTTCGACAAGTATTTTCGGACGGAGGGAGTATTTCTGAGTGGGCAAAATTAGCATATGTAAGCTGCAGCCGCAGCATGTGCGGTACAAAAATGCTAGACATACAAAGACTTACACGCTTTTACACGCTCCTTCCATCTAACAACCAATCACAAACCTCTTCTCCCCTGATTTTCAGGGAGGTGGGCCGCCCCGCTCACCTATTAACCAATCAAGGTTAACCATTCTATAAAAGCCTGTAAATCGTTTGTACGTGTAGCATTCCCGCGTGCGGTAATAATTGAGATAACGCCCGCATTACATGGGTGGCTTTCCCGGCGCGGGCCGGCCAATCTGCTCGCCGTTACCGCCTTGCGATTCGTGCCGTTTTTAATGCGCCCGTTTTCGGACGGCCCGCGTGCCGCTCGGGGCGGGCGGGCAGGCGGGTAAAAAGCGAAGCCAAAAAAAAGGAAAGTCTTTTTGACGCCATCATGCCTTCGTCCTCAACCACCAAAGCGAGAAACAGAGGCCACTCTCGCTCACAAGCCGGCTAGCTTCTCCTCTCCTCCACACACGCGAGAAGCAATGGAGGGCCCCGCTCGTTTTCTTTCTTTCTCGGAATCAGGTCGCATCGTACGGGAGGCTTCTAGAACGGCGGGCGGGAGAGAGAGAGAGAGATCGCCGTCCCGGCACAGTGACGGAGCAGGGGCCGTCGGTTTCGCGGGGCGCATTGGAGAGCATGGATTCGAAGGCTCGTGCAAAAGCGCCATGAACTGTAGCTCGGCGCAAGTTGTGTCTGCCCTCTTGGCATGCAACTTGGCGGCAGGTAAAGGTGCCCAATTCCTGCCCAAGTTGCACGAACCCGGGAAACGGATGGAAACGCACGGCCTGCGAAAGCAAGAAATCAGGGGAGGGGGAGGAAAGGAAGGTAAGGGAAATGGAGATGGAAATCAGAGAGAGGTCGGGTCGGGTGGGGCGGCGGAGAGGGAAGGCTATGGAGCACTACATGCCCGAAAGCGGGCAGATCAGATAGGGAAAGGGCGCAGGTCCGATCAAGAAAGGAAGGGGACGAAAGGGAAGGTGCGTGCGGTGGCTTTCAGGATTGGGAAAGAGATGGCCGGCGGGGAGGGGAGGATGGACCATGAGTCCATGATGCTTGATGCATGCCCGCGGCGCAGATATGCAGGGGGTGCCCCGGGTATCCTATTCCCGCTTGTGCTCCGTCTCCTTTCCCGCTCCGGTCGGCCCCCTACGTCGCCCTCTGTCTCCCTCCGGCTCGGCCGAGAGGGTTCCGGAAGAGCCGAGAAGGGGTTGAGGAGCATGCATCGCTGCGTGATCGAGAGAGGGAGGGAGGGCGTCGGATTTGCTTACCCAGCACGAAGGAGGCGGCGACCATGCCGCCGTGCCGGCCCTTCACCGCCGGCCGGCTCCTCCAGTCCACGTACCCCTCCCACCGCTCCACCTCCCGCGTTCCGTCCTCCTGCATACAACAAGACCCGACAGATCAACACCGACAGCAACAGAACAAGAACTGCCGCATCGGCTCCAAGGAGATCGATCGATCGGTCGACTCACCATGGCGCCGCCCGCCATCAAGCCGCGGCGTGCGTGTGTGTGTGAACTCTCAAAGTCTGAAACTCTGAACTGCCGGATGAAGAGAGGAGGCCGTTCAGGAAGGCTCTCAGTCTCAGGGGAGCGCCGTGTGTTGTGTGTGACTGCCTGGCTGACGGGGGAGGAGGGGCACGGTGGCGTATTTAAAAGTGCGTGCGGACGGGGGAGAGAGCGGGTGGCTGGCTGCGCCGCTGGTGCCGGAGGGGCAGAACCGTAAAACGGCGCCACCCCCAGCCCACAGGGGCGGTTGACGGGGACTCGAGGGCACGCAGAGACGTCCATCTCAGCTCAGCATGCCCCTCTTCCTCCTCTTGCGCGACGCAATATTGTCTTCTTCTCGTGCCGCACGTTTTTCTATTTTCGTTTTCTCGTTTCCATTTTCCATTTTTATTTCATTAATGGGGTGCATTTACAGGGATTATCTGGACTGATACGGCGTAGTATATCCAGCTGTATTCGGTGGGTTTGTAAATGAGCACGTGCAGGGATGCATCGTCCAGGGTTTGTAAATGAGCACGTGCAGGGATCAAACATCAAGGATGATGTTTGATCGAAAACGCTAGGACGACCTACTTCGACATGCTTTGTCAAGCGCGCAGTGAGCAAGCGCCAGTGATAAGAGCATCTAAGGCCGGGCTTCTCATACCCTTTTCAAACATCTGGGCGGTCCGTCTGTTCATTAACCGGTTAAAAAATCAACCCAAACGAACCTCACAAACCATGAAAAAATGCCGGGCTGTCCGGCACCTATCATATGCAGCCCAAATATGGGGCGGATATGGACGGCCTGGGCACGATCGGGCAGGCCGTCCGGTCACTGACCTATTTTTGTCATTAATGATGCACTATAGGTGCGCCACTATTACCACGCCATTAGTAACAAATATTAATGGCGCACATTTAGTGCGCCATTACTATGGCTAAAAGTGCGTCATTACTATCTGACTTACTAATGACGCACCACAAGTGTGCCATTACTAACAATTTTTTTTCAATTTTTTTCCTCAATCACCCATCCTCACACTACTCCAACTCGAGCACGCTTAACTTTGCAGTTCTATCCAACCCCAGCACCAGCTCACTTAACAGGCACTTGTTGATATATCTATCATATAAATCCTATTAAACCTTGTTGATGTGTAGTTCTTTGTTCATGTTCATGAGTGTGATGAAATTTTGAAAAAATATTTTAAACTTCCCCGTCATATTACGTATCATATTTTGAAAAAAATTCCAAAAGCAAAATTCGAAACCAATTTCTTTTTATGTTACTAGTGGCGCACCTAGCAAAAGGTGCGCCATTACTAACTTTGAATTTTTTTTTCTGTTTTTCACCCTCTAGATCTTAAAAGCCCCGTATCATTTATTCTGCTAGGTTTTTGGGGATTCTAAAAATCTTCAACGGGGTCCCGTATCTTTTCGAGTAGATGATTTTTCATATTAAAAAACTTTTTAATCCGAGTTCGTATGCAAAAGTTATGCCCATTTTACAAATCCAGAGAGATTTTGCAAATAAAGTCGAAATCCATATTTGTAAATTTCCCCAACAAGTAGACCACATATCACATGAGAAACTTATTTTTTTGACATTTCCATCATTTTCTTTTATTTTTTTTAAACTGAAAAGGCGGTCCACAGGGGGTGCATTCGGTGGAATTTTTGTCGAAGTTAGTAATGGCGCACCGTGGGTGTGGTGCGTCATTACTAGTTAAACTAGTAATGGCGCATAATCCCCGGGTGCGTCATTACTAGTTTTGAAAAAAAAATTGTTAGTAGCGGCGCACCGAGGGTGTGGTGCGCCATTACTAGTTTTGGAAAAAAAATTGTTAGTAGTGGCGCACCGAGGGTGTGGTGCGCCATTACTAATTTTGAAAAAAAATTAAAAAAAATTGTTAGTAGTGGCGCACCGTGGATGTGGTGCGCCATTAGTATTTGAAGTTTAATGGCGTAACTATATATGATGCGTCACTGCTATATAGCAGTGGCGCGCACCCTAAACGTGGTGCGTCATTAATGTCCATATTAGTTATAGCCATTTTTCTAGTAGTGCAACACGGACCTCTCAAACCGCGGACAAACGCCCGGGTAGACCGACACCCCTCATATTCAGCCCAAATATAGGACAAATATGGGCGGTCCGGGCACATCCGGGCAGGCCGACCAGTCACTGACCAGTAAAAAAAAATCCACCCAACTGGACCTCTCAAACCGCGGACAAACGCCCGGACTGACCGGTACCCCTCATATCCAACCCAAATATATGGCGGATAGAGGGATGGCCCGGGCACGCCCGGTCGCGTCCACTTGACTGGCCTGACCCACCACCGACCCCAAAAAAACCCCAATCCGGGCGGCGAGATCAAACCCTAGCTCACTCTATCCCTTTCTCTTGCTCCGTCCACTCCTCTTCCTCTCCGGTGCCGATCCCATCCACCACGATGAGCAGCTCCGGCAGTGAGTCCGGCTCGGAGCTCGACTACAAGGAGGAGATGGCCCTCCGCATTACGCTGGAGTGGTCCAAGGTGAGACTAGCGGCAACTTTGGATCTGGAGCGTCACTGCAACTCCCGCGTCGGCGGAGCGCGGATACCGGAACTAGACCTTCCCGGCCCGTACGCAACGACGCAAGGACGCTAGAGCTGGACCTTCCCGGCCCGCCGGCTGGACCTCCGGAGTTGGAGACGCGTCGCGAGAGGCAGCGTGCACGGGAGAGGGACGCGCCCGAGCAGTCCGGGTGGAGCCGCCGCAGGACGGAGCCAGACGCTGACGAGAGGCGCGCATCTCCTCGCATGGGTGTACGGCCACTCCCTCGCGACGGCGGAGACAGACGCTCGCCACCTACGAGGAAGAATGCCAAGGCGTCCCGGCTTGTTATTGAGCAGTCAGAGCGCGAGGCGAAGGAGGCAGCGACGGAGAAGGCTCGGGTGGCAAGGTTGAAGCGACAGCAAGACAGGGCGGTCCGTCGGATGAAGGGGCTCATCATCCTCTCCGACTCCGACTCCGACTGCGGCGACAGCTGCACCTCCTCGTCCTACGACGATTACCCTACACCAGTCGCGGACGCCTACATCCGCGCCCGATGACCGGAAGGGCAAAGGCCCGGTGAGGAAGTGGTGATTCTGCCCCCTCCCTCCTACTCCTTAATGTTTATATATTCTTTTTAGTTGTAGAAGTTTATGAACTTGTCCGGAGACGAACTATGATCTTTTTGGATGTGGTGAAGTATGTTAATGTCCGTTTGCAGCCGACCTTGTGTTCCTTTGCAATCGATTTTTGTTGTTCATTCCGTTTCGGAAAAAAAATTATTGTCGTCATTTGCTCGCGTAGGATAGATCAACGCTTGCATGTGTAGCATGAATAAGGTGCCAGATATCACAATGACAAATATGAGGGATGCCCGATCAATGGGCGCGTCCGCAGGCAATTGAGGGGCCGGATTTGCCAACTTCTGTTGTAGATGCTCTAAGGGGCAAGTTGAGGATTCTTCCACCGGATGCGTACGTCGGCTGATCACTGATCAGGCGCACGCCCTAACGAGCAACAGGAGAAAGCCTGACCGGTCGATGGTTCGTGGGTCGTCGCAGCGAGAGGACTGATCAGCCGCACGCCCGAGCAACAGGAAGAAGCATGCATGGCCTGGCCGCAGTGCTTTCTGCTTCTACTTGCTGTCGACAACGACACTACGCGAGCAACATGAGGATCGGACAGATCCATTGGCTGAAATGTGCGATAGGAGGAATTGGTGGTGCGATCATTCTCGATGGATCTACTCTTTTTTTTCAAGTCGCACTCCTCTGATTCTCCCTTGCGCCTTGTTTGGTTTGGGGATTGAATTTGATCCGTCTACCATATAGTTTCTAAATTTCGTCGCAACGTTTTTTAATATTTCAGATATGGGTTTAATGTTTGGTCTCACCTAGGAAATTCGCAGGGGCGCGCAGGTGCGGGGAACCCACCTGCCAAGCCTACCCGGCCGCTCGACTGCCTCACAATTCGCGAAGTAGCTAGTATGCCGCAAGAGTGCACAATAAGTTTTAAGTTTCAGTTGTCGAAACATATTATTTTTTATTTGAAACTTGCGATTTTCAAAAGTTTCAGGAGTTGAGACCTAACATTTATTTTCAAAAGTCATCAAAATGGATCTTATTTGAAAGCCCGTGTCACGAGAAACACGAATATGAAAACATAACTTAATTTGGACTTTTTGTTCAAAAGATATACAAGTCTAAAATCGAAAGCCAAAAAAAAAAAGCACGCCCGAGGAACTGCATGCCATGGGACTTGCGTGCCATAAGTTCTCTCCCGATATCACCTAAAGTTGGAAGCCTTTTATTTCGTGAAAGAATCATTGCCAGATTTTTAATCTCGTGTTCGACTTTTTCAGTAAGTTTTGGAGTATTTTTTTATTACATGTGTTTGAAAATTTTAATAGGAAATTGACCCCATTTAAGAGTTTTGCCTTAAATTGGAAACTTGTGACACATTTTATCTTATCTGATTTTTTGAAGTCAACCTTATCTAATTTTAACATGTTGTGTCAAGTGGGTCCTAGCTGTTAGGGTACATGTGACGTGCCATGCCCATGGGTTTTGCTGCATGCATTTGCCGCCTGGTCCCGCATCGCTTGCGTTCCCTAGACTACGGCCATGTTTGTTTCATAAGTCCTAGGACTTTTTTAAGTCTCAACTTATAAGTCATAAGTCCCTACCTGTTTGTTTACAGGGACTTATAAGTCCCGAGTCCCTACCTGTTTGTTTACAGGGACTTATAAGTCCATGTTGCACCGCTGCAGCGAAGCTCAGGAGAGGGCCTGTCCGTCGA